TTATTTTTAATAAATTTTTTATTAAAAAGATTAAAATAATTTTTTTTAACTAAGAAAGAAACTACTTCAACTTTTTTCATATGATACTTTGTTAATATTTGTTTTTCTTTATTTTTTAAAAGTGTAACTACTGATAAATACTAATCTTAAAAATTAAATTTAATTTCCTTCAGTGTAAATATTTAAATATATGAAAGAAAATTTTACTTACATTTTTTAGGCACCTCCCAAACAGCCCCTTGTCGCCCCTGTCGGCAAGCAGAAAAATAAAAATAAAAAATAAAAAAGAATTTAACGGCCACCTGTCGAGCCTCGGGTGTCCCCGTCTGTGTCGGTAACCATAGAAAAACCAGTACTGATCTGGGACCAAAGAACAGAACGAAATCGTGAGGACGGAAAATCAGTACAATCCTGTGTGTGTGACCCACTGCATTAATGGTTGTGATTTCTTCGCCCCTTCTATCATTTTCCGGAGAAAACAAAGGTTAAATCCTCAATTTGGTCCATGAACTATATATTATATGAACCATCCATTTGGTCCCTAAACTTAAAAAAGTTTCTGATTTGTCCTTAAGTTATAGTACGAACCCCAATTTGATTCTACTATTTACTAATTTATCCCAAGTTGGTCTTTCTTTATAAAAATCAATTGACGTGTCTTATTATTAACATGACATATGATCGTTAAGTTATTATTTTTTGTTGTTAAGTTATTGTTTTTTGTTCTTAAATAACGGACACGTCAGTTTTTTTTTTGTACAAAAAGATCAATTTGGGATAAATTAATAAAAAATAGGGATCAAATTTGAGATCCGCACAATAATTCAAAATCAAATTAAGGATTTTTTAAGTTTAAGAACAAAATCAAAAGCCTATACAATAATTCAGAAACCAAATTGAAGGTTTAACAAAAAACAAAACAGGTGCTACCAAACGTGCACAAACCGAAAGATACCCCAGACCCCATGTGACTAGTGTGACCGTATAAAACGTTAAGGTCACTATTTTTATTTTTTTTAATATTTTATAAATAATATTTATAATTTTTAGCAACCTTAGGCACTAATCGTAACCTTAGTGACCATGACCACACCTCCAAAAAAATTTAGAAAACCAATGAAATATAAGAGGGTTTATTTTATTAATTTGCCCTCTAAAATATTCCTTTTAATCAATTAGTACAAAAAAAATTCTAACCTCGCTTTTAATTTTAGTCAAGCTCCATCCTTGCCTGTTCCAATTTTATTTATGGTATATTTGAATTGAAATGAATAGAGAGCAGAGGAGGGATGAGAGAGTTTTTAAACTAATTAAATTAAATTATAATATTTATATATATATATATATATCTAAAATGTACTTATCATCACTTCCATCTAATGGTCCATATTGTAGTTCAAGTTGCAAGATAGGAAACCTTTTACTATATATGGCTTTATTAGATGGATTATTAATGCAAACCTTTTAATTTTATTTAAGTGATCCACATTAAGTGCTAATTTGTCAAAAAGCAACTTCGTTGTCAATGACATGGATAATTAATATTAAAACTCTATTAGGTCATTGATGGTGGGTCCCTCACAAAAATTTTTTTAATCTTTTTAATATTTTTTATTTTTACCTATGTCATCAATAATAAAGTAGGTTTTTTTAATAAATCAATTCTTAATGTGGGCCATTTTAACAAAATTAAAAAGCCCATGTCATTATTTTTCTAACAACATCTGATATGGTAAAATTAGTAAGTTTGAGTCATTGAATAAGAAACCAAAACGTTAAAATCCTCAATTAAAAATAAAATTTTAAATGTTTAATTAGTAAACTTTTGAAAGTCGGAGTCTTCTTCTGTGTTACTTCTCTTTCTTTGATGGGCGAATTCTCGAAGTAGTTCGAACTCGTAGCGAGAGCATGTACAGTGATGCCATGTTAAGGGTGTTCTATTCCACTTTTGGGCCCAAAAACTAGAACAGAACCCAACAGAGCAACAGAAAGAAATGGACCAACGTTTTCGGCCCTAAACAAGCCCAAATAAATAAATAAATAGATAAAAGCATTGATATATTTTGCTTGAAACTCATAAAATAATTAAAATTGTATTGATTTAGATTCATATGGAAAAGAGTTTAGGATTTTGAGTGTGAGTGAGTGTGAAAAGGATGACTAAGAAAGGATCATATTTATAGATATTTTTTAAATTAAAAAAAAAAAAGAATTTGAAAAAAAATATACTTAAGATCCTTGAAATCCAAAATTTCAACTTTTACAAATGCCAATTCAAATTCAGCTCCAATGGATCTGAGTCCATATAATTTATTCTTGCAAAATCCAAGAGTTTCACTTTCCTAATTTCTTAATTTTTAACATTCCTTAGCTAAATCCATATATGCAAAATTCTTACTTTGCAACACCTAGCCACACTAATCCCACCAATAACTTTGCAACTTTTACAAGTACTTCTCCCCGAACACTAATAGGGTTCACATGTTGAATAGTTTGTAAATGTTTAACATCTCATATCAAGAAAATATGAGAATTTAAAAGAATTTATAAAAACTTATTTTTTATCAACAAATAATTAAATAAAATGAAACTTAAGATAAATTGTATATCATCCTTTTATATATAGTTAAAAGATGAGTACTTGGGTACTTAATTTTTTATTATTTTTAGATTTTTTATTTTATTTTATTATATTAAAATTTGAAAAAACATGTTTGAAAATCAGATATAATTATTGGTAATCAAAATGTATCTCTATAAAATGATATCTTTCTGACACGAATAGTGACTTTTCAGACATTATAAATTCCTATGTAAAATCAAAATTCTACATTTCATTCTAAAAAATTTTTATATTTTACTATATTTTTAAAGATTTTAAATACTTACAAAAAATGAAATCATGTCTCAAAAAACTTCTTTTATTCTTCTGCTATTTCTTGTTTTCTAACATCACATGTGAGTGGCAATTTCTTGAATTTCCAACCAACAGGGTTGGATGACAATTTGCCTGGCATCGATGATGATGAAGGTGATGCGCCACGATTGACTTCCACAAACCAAACACGTTAGTGCGTGAGGAAAATATGCTCCTCATAAGTGTATGGTTAAATGTTTCTAAGGACTTAATTGTGGGAAATGATTAGAAACTGGGTTTTTTTTTTTTTTTCTAGAAATGGGTGGCGGAGTAGCACAACGAGCATCGCAATGGTCAAGTTGCAAGAACTTGAAAACAAGTTGTAGATGAAGTTTGTCGGCTCTTACAACCGAGTCTCCCAAAGCAAAGCTGTTCGAGAATGACATCATCATCAAAGCACATCAGCTACATCTAGATGAAATGGGCAAGAGATCCTCTACAAGCATCTGCATGGGGTACAAACCGAAATGAAGAGCTTATCTTGACCGATTAGGCAACAATGGTTCATATTCAAAGAGAACAAAAGTATCCGAATCGGGCCGTCTTAGACTCTGAAATTCTGAATTCGCCAATGAACAGTGACGTTAGCGATCCATAGGCTGAAAAGGCAAAGAGAAACTAATGGAGTCTTGAACAGATTTCCATGCAATGTACGAGGAACTAAATCATCCTCGAAGGAGTTGGTACAGGCCAAAGAAAGAAAGAGACAGAAAGGAAATCCTGTTTGCAGACTCCTCTTTCATGTCACCTAAACAGTGAGAAATTCATTAAAAAATTGGTGAATAAGATTTAAAATAATAATCCTTATGTGATGTAATTTGAAGACTAGATACATGTAGGGGGATGTTCATTTTTGCTCACAATCGAGAAGACTCCCAAACTATACTCAAAACTCCACTTCAGAAAATGTTTCGAAGTACTTCCTCAGATGAAGATGAATTAATTGAGTCAATCATCACTAACAACAGAGACATAGATATGTTGTTCGTGATCCTGAATAAGTGGCAACAACACTCACAAGTATCTTCATCCAGCGGGAGAAGAAAGAGAAGAACGAAATGAGCTTACGTAGTCAGGGGTCGTGAAGCAGGATACGTCCGCTTAGTCAACGACTACTTCTGCGCCAAGCTGGTATACACTGAGGATCAATTCCGGCGTGGGTTCTCATCATCCAATGACAAACCCATTTTAGGTTTAGGGTTTCTCGATTCGTCCGAGCCGCCACTGCCTCCTCCTCCTCCCCCCGTCGAGGTATTTCCTCAGAGGCACCGTTACAGTCCTATTTCATAGAATTTAGTTATCTAGGAAAAGAAAGTTGATATTTTGAGTTTTTACATTGCTCTGTGAAGTAAATGTTCCTGTTAATCGTTTCCAATTGAAACCCAGGTTTCCTCATCTGTGAAATTCACTGTCAGCCTGTGAATTTGGATGGATTAACGTTTCTAAAG